CTGGTATATATGCATATTGATATATTAATTATAATATATTTATTCGTATTTACCACTAAGATATAGATTTCCTATGTATTTATATATTATTTTGATTTTAAATTTAATGATATTAATGTATTTACAGAACTTGAATGTATTTTCCTAGCATATCCATGCGTTTTCATATTTTTTGTCCATATTCATATGTTTTCAAAACATATCCATATCTGAATTGTCCGATACGATACCTGATACCAATACTTTAACCATTGTTCTTAATTGATTCTAAATGATCTTTTAGATCTAGGTTACTATATAAAACTTTGAAGTCAGCACAAAGATAATATCAATAACCTCAATATCCCTAACCAAAATCCATTAAAAGGGAAGACAAGCTGAAGACACAATTCGAATTCATAAGCTACTAATGTAATACTACAATTCAAATTCAGATTCCACCCAATTAGATCCACAATTCTACACAAAAGCTGAACTCGAAACTAATTCTCTATTTGGTCTCCTTGCATTGTTGTCTTAGATCATCCTTTTCATTTTTGTTGCTCGTTAAAGTTGCATGGTCCATAATTAGAATGGCACACTGAGCAATCTGTCTTCCCCAAGCATAGCTGACCTATATCAATATTTCCATGCCGCTTGTTATCATTCTCACTGCATAATTTATTTTTCCATGCAGAAGTGGCTATAAATTCAAAAAAATAGGATCATAGAAGGTGTGTTTGCTGGAATCTTTTCTTCTTCTCCTTCTCCTTTACTAAATAATTAATGAATGACCCCGTAAGTACAAGGAATCAGTAATATTAAATTTACATTATAGAATAGATAACATTAAATTTATATTTATTAATATTTTAAACAATTATTAAAATTTCAAGAAATATTTATTTCAAAAGAAAATGGTTGCTTGAGCCTACAAATATATAGGAATAGCCGGGTTAAGCTATCTATTAATTCCAATTTTTTTTTAATTTCTTAATTGTTAATAGTTGTTATATAAATACTTGATAAAATTTAATATTTCTTATTAACTTTAGTAAATTTTTATTAATTTTGTCTACTTAGTTCCAAATTAATAAAATATAAACTAATTTTACGATCCTTTTGGTTCACTGACATAATTGAAATTGGAATCAGAATCAAAATCACCTCTTCCTGATGCCTATTTGGTTTAGTTAGGAATTGAAATCGGATTCTGATTGCTATTGTTTAATTCACTTGGAGTTGGAACCTGAATAAACTACAAAATTTTCAATTTTTTATATTTTATTAGTAAGTTATTATTTTATTAATTTTTATGATTTTATTTATGTTTAATTATTATTATTATTATTATTACTTTAATATTGTATGAATATTTTATTATAGTACAATTGTTTTATTACTATTTTATTAAATATGGTCCGATTAACGGAAACTTATTTTATTAATAACCATTAATTTTAGGAAGTTATTTATAGTAATTAAATTTTTATATTTACAAATTTTAATATTAATCTTACTGATAATAAATTCCATAATGTTAATAATGCACTAATAATCATTAACTGATATTAATAATCACATTTTTAGTAATTAAATTTTCAGCAAGTACTTTGTAGTAATTACATTTTCCTATTTACAAATTGTAATATTAATACTAATAATTATAAATCAGTAATGTTAAATTCAATAAATTTGATAATAAATTAAAAATTATTAACTTTCCCTAAATTAAATTAGCAAAACCAGTTAATTTTTAGTTGTAATATATTATAATTATAATATTAATACTATTGATTTTTATATTTACAACTTAAAGAGAGCTAACCGATTGAACGTTAAATAACTGCTAAAACATTAATAAAAAAAAGAACATGATAATACACTAACCGATTGAAAAATTGTTGAATAGGATACCTTTTTGAGTTGCAGACTTCTCTGTTGTTGCAATTTGAGAAACCGGAGACCTAAAATTGTAGACTTCTCTATTGTTGCAGTTTTAGAAATGGGACACCTTGAGAGTTTGCTAAACCGATTGGAGGAGAGGAAATCTCTTTCGTTGCAGTTTCACAAACTGGACATTCAATGAAGCACGCGATTGAATGGATTTTCAAGTCAGGCGTTGTCTCTCATAGTTCGGTTATCTCTTAACTCTGTTGCAGGTATTCTAAGTTCAGTTATCTCTTACTCTGTTGCAGGTTGTATATTGCCATATTCTGCATTCTTTTTTTGGGAAAAGATTGAGAATGGGAGCTTTCCACTTCTCACTTCAAAACTTATATGTCTGTGAATGCAATAACAACAAAATCTTAGAAATTGCCATATGACTGCATGGTAGTTGGCTGTGGATTTGAACATCCACTTATGAGAAATTGCCACATAACTACTTTCTCCAGAACCACGTATCTGAATAATGGGAGACTTCAGTCTGAAGACCTTCTTATATATATTAGATCTTTGGGCTTTGATTCTTCATGAGGTGAAATTGATTCACCAAAATTTCCCTTCAAATGATCAGAACAATGCAAAGATTTTTAGCTTAGACTGTAGGTTGATAGATTAAGCACGTTGGATTTCCTAAGACATTTCAAAAGCTTTCAAAATTGTTCAAAGCTCAAAGGGTACTTGTGTTCTTTTACATGCCATCTAACATCGGTTGACACTAAATGGATAATTTACGAGAATTTAAATACTGTAGTGGCATGTTTTGAAGTTGGATCATAATAATAAAGTTTTGTTAATAATTTGATGCACAAAAAATTATGTTCAGACATGCATAAAAATGTAGGTTTGAATGTACGAGTCACTTAATCCGTGTTTGGTTCGAACGAAAAGGAGGGATTCTTTCAATATCTCATATGGCTTGAATTAATATAAATGTGCAATATCAATATTAATAAGTTCAAACTATCTGTGTTTTTTTCAAATTTTATTTATTTATTTTTTAAACTGATTCAGATGAATCGATTTAAGTTCTGACTACTCTCTAAATCATGGTTGATGATGTGCAATCCGGTCGGTCTTAGCTGTCAACGACTTTGCCTCTGAACTGAGTAGCAGGGAACCTGAAACAGGGGAGATGAGGAAAACTCCGGGGGGAACCCGGTGTAAAGGCTCCGAAGCTCAAGTTAGAATCCTTCAAAGGCAAGATAAACCAGATAGCACAAAGTTTGCATACCTCCTCTTTGG